TCCACATCTCCTTTCATCAGCCCCGCCCAGACAGATTGGATACTACTCAGTGGAGATTCTACCTTCCTCCGTGTCCTCTGGATATAGGCTCCCTTTTGAAAGCTTGTAAGTCAGATACTTTCTTGCCCCCCATTTTGGGTAGCCAATGTCCAAGTTGCCCATCCCTATCTACTCTGTGTATGGAGGGGGGGGGCAGTATGTTTTTGTAAGTATTATAAACATCAGGTGGATGACAAATGTTTGATTTGGTTACAGGTTGTGAAAATCTTAGAGAAGCATGACCCCTTGAAGAATACTCAGGCAAAATATGGATCCATCCCTCCAGATGAGGCCAGCGCTGTGCAGAATTATGTGGAACACATGCTCTTCTTGCTGATTGAAGAGCAAGCCAAAGATGCTGCAATGGGACCAATTCTGGAGTTTGTGGTCTCTGAGAACATTATGGAGAAACTCTTCCTTTGGAGCTTGAGACGAGAATTTACAGATGAGACTAAACTAGAGCAGCTCAAGATGTATGAGATGTTGGTCACCCAGTCGCACCAGCCTCTTCTGCACCACAAGCCTATTCTGAAGCCCCTGATGATGTTGTTGAGTTCTTGCTCAGGAACAACCACCCCTGCTGTGGAAGGGAAACTGGTTGTCCTGCTTAATCAGCTCTGCTCCATTCTTGCCAAAGATCCATCCATTCTGGAACTCTTCTTCCATACTAGTGAAGATCAAGGGGCTGCCAACTTCCTCATCTTCTCCCTTCTGATTCCCTTCATTCACCGGGAGGGGACAGTAGGCCAGCAGGCCCGGGATGCTTTGCTGTTTATCATGTCTCTTTCTGCTGAGAACAGCATGGTGGCCCATCACATCGTGGAGAACACCTACTTCTGCCCAGTAAGTTCCTGTCATTGGCATGTTTTCCAGCTATTCTTTTTTATTTTTATTTCCTGTGATAATATAAAATACTTAATTTTTTTTTCCCTTTCAGCAAGGTGCACTTGGCATCTTTCATAAAAAGATGCTTACAGGAAATCTTTTTGAGAGAGCAGAGGAATCTAAGTTGAGAAGCTATTTAACAGTGCAGTAACGGTGCAAAAGAAGCCAACATGGGAAGCCATCTGTGTTACCGTTTCTTAGCTTGTATTTGTTGTGTTTGGAACTATTTTCATTTTTCTTAGCACATATCCTGAGAGATTGCTAAAACCTGCACTTTCTATATTCTTAGCTTTTCAGGTTGATTTTGTGCCACTGAATCATGGCATGTGGTGAGACCTTTCACAGCTGTTTTTGCAAAATAATTTGTTTCTCGGCAAGATAATGGCCGCTAATAGTAAATCGAAAACATTGATTTTATTTTAAATATATACTTTTATTTTAAATTTGATGGAATACGTAGTGTTCTCTACTCTGTGTAGTTTCTTGATACTTGGTGTAATGAGAAATAAAATGTGAAATTCTTTGCAGGTATTGGAGTAGCCCAGGCCCAATCACAGTACCAGAAAATAATGAGAGTGGTTTGGGACTCTTACGATACTTTAGAGCGTTGATTATTTTTTTTTTTGGTGTCATTGGTACCTTTGGAAGAGGAATTTAAATAACAACTTTATAGATTTATATCTCCTAGATTGTTGAATAAACTGAACAACAGCTGTTTATATTTCCCTAACTCAATGAGCAAACTAATTTTCTTGTTTCCAATGTCTATTTTGTTTTTAACCAATCATCTCACAATTCTTGTAAACTTTGTAACCCTTAAATATGCATGGTTCTGCTGGATTAATATACAGGACCCCTAAGATGCCATGGCCTAGGCTTTGAGTTGTGAAACACAAGGTTGATGGTTCAAACCCATCAGTTGCTCCTCAGGAGAAAGATGAGGCTGTCTGTCCCCATAAAGATTTACAGTCTCAGAAGCCCTATGTAGGATTGGTATGAGTTATAATTGACTCATTGGTAGTAGATTTGGTTTGGTGTAAGTGAGATTTGCTAGAACAGGACAGGCAAGTTTCTATAAATAGATTAGATTCATTATTAATTGATGCTGTATAGGTAGTTCTTGATCAGGAGTGACTCACCACAGGAGGGCATTTAGAAATGTGTATGAGGTGTATTTGGTTGTCATGGGGGCATGAGGTTGTGGTGGGGTGGGGGGTACTACTGTCTTTAGTGTGCAGGAATCAGAGCTGCTAGTAGTTTGTGGGATTGCACAGTTTGTGGGCTTCCACAGTGAATAATTGACCCGCGAAAAATGCTAATAGCAGCTCTGTTGAGTAACATTGCATTTCACTTGGAGGTTCAAAAGCAGAAATCTTCATATTACAGACTACTATTTCTACTGATAAATCTGATTCACCGAGTATCTTATGAATGTTTCCTTAACTTCTTATGCAAAAGAATGAAGCTGGAACTATACCTCATACCATGAACATTAACTGAAAATGGATCAAGGAGCTAAATGTGAAAACTAAAAACCATAAAACTCATAGCAGAAAATGTAAGGGTATTTTTTATTTTTAAGTTTTTATTGTGAATTGAGTGAAGGTTTACAGAGCATATCATCAGCTTTACATTAAAAAAAATCATATACTTAGCTTCATTACAATTATTGCAGTTGCCGCCTTGTACCATCAGTTAACAGTATTTTTCTCTGTTCAATTTAATTCTTGCATTCCTTCTGTGTCTCCTACCTTCATCATTCCTCTGCCAATTTCCTTCTTGTTGTATGTTGCCTGCCTCATCACCCATGTTAATATGTGTCTACCTACCCTCTAGCCAGTGAATAATTTTTCCGCTCCCTTTGTAACCATTATAGAATGGTTCTTTTATCAAGAAAACCTTTTCTTAACGTTTTCAACATTGGTCTCATGCTACATTTGTCCTTTTGTGATGGACTAATTTCACTCAGCATAATATCCTCCATGTTCATCCATGTTGTGAGGTGTTTTGCAAATTCATTGTTATTCTTTACATTGCATAGTATTCCATTGTGTGTATGTACCAAAGTTGTTTGACCGTTCTTCTAGTGATCATTTAGACTGTCTCCATCATTTTTGTGTCTCTTGTAGACAGAGTATTAAAGGAACCTGATTTCTTATCTATCCTTTACTCCCTATCTCTTGACTGATGCATTTAATTGTGTAATTATCAACAGTTATGAATTGATTGCTGTCATTTTCACTGTGTGTTTGTGTGTGTGTATATGTGTGGATGGTGCTGCTGGTTTCTTTGTTGTACATAATTTTCTGCACTGAGTTCATTTTGTTTGTGGGTTTTCTTTTCATTCTCATTTCTGTTATGTTAATGTTTACTAAATCTTTCTGCCTTTCCTCTCTGTTTATTTTATGTGCAGGTGCTTTCATTTTCTTTGAGATTACCCTGTAATTAAAAAAAAAAATTTTTTTCTACATTTAAACAATCTATTTTATCTTGAAATCTACTTGACTTCCTCGCCATTTAGAAGTTCTGTATCTACACACTTCCCTTGTTTTTCTTTGTAGTTGACTTCATTATAAATTTATATCTTTGATTCTATATTTTCAGTCTTGTAGATTTGTTTTACTTTAAAGACTTGTGTGTATCTACATTGAGTTTTGGGTCCATGTTGTCATGTATGTTTATCTCAGATTGTTGTCTGCTATTGTTGGTTCTCAGTTCAGAAAACAAACACACTTTAACATTTTTTTATAAAGTTGTCCTTGTCATTACACATTTTGTTAATTTCTCTTTACCTAAAATGTCTTCATTTGAGGGATGGCTTTGCTTGACATATGATTCTTGATTGGAAGTTGTTTTCTTTAAGAACTTTATATATGCTATTCCTTTGCTTTCTTGTCTGCCTAGTTTCTGCTGAGAAATCAGAGCTTACTCTTACTGACTCACTCTTTTCATTTTTCCCTAGGCGCTCTCAGGATTCTTTCCTTGTCTTTGGTGTTTGAAAGTTTGATTGTGATATGTCTTGGTGATTTTCTTTTAGGATCTATCCTGTTTGAGGTTCTCTCTGCTTCTTGTATGCTTAGCTTCTTGTCTTTCATATTGTTAGGGAAATTTTCTTTCAACAATTTTCTGTGTGGTTTTTATTGTCTTTTTCTGCTCTGGAATTCTGATCCAACTGTAAATTATTCCTCTTCCAGGTGTCCCACATAACTCTTAGACTTTCTTTGGATGTTTTCTGTTTGATTGTTCTTGTATTTTATTAGTATTGAGAGATTTATCTTCAAGCTCATTAATTCAGGCTTCCATTGCTTCCAATCTGCTCCTTTGCTGTTTCAATGTATTTTCCATTTCTGAAATCTTAGTATTGATCTTCTGGATTTCTAATCACAGGTTTTTTATTGTTTCATAATTTGCATTAATTTTGTCTGTTTGTATGTCTAATATTTTCCTGAGTGCATCTAAAGATTTTTTGTGTTTTCCTTGCTTTCCTCCATCTTTTTGTCAATCATCTGAACATACCTAGATGTGATTATTTTGAATTGTTTTTCAATGAGTTCCATTACCTTTTCTTCCTTAGAAATGTTTTCTGGCTCTGCAAGCTGGCCATTTGTTTGAACCATTCTCTCATGTTTCTTTGTGTGAATTGAATTTGTGTGTTGCCTCTGGGGCATTGTGGGATTGTTGCACTTGTATTTGATTGATGATTGTATGCTTATGTTACCTTAGACTCTCACTAGCTGTCTTTTTTGGGAGTAGTTAGAGAATGGAGTAGTTAGAAGAAGCACACTGTTTTTGTTTGGCATTTGTGTGCCTCAGTTTTGGTGGGTATGGCTGGTGTTGGCTGCTGTCTTTTGATGATCAGGTGGTATAGGAGCTGATATTGACTCTTGCCCAGTGGATGGAGCTCCAAAGGATCAGCTTGTATGTAGACAGCATGGGCATGTTTGCTGTCTCCTGTCCAGTGGGAAAGAGAAAACCTCTCTCACATACACATACAAGAAAACAAACAAGAATGAAAAAACAAGGAACCAACAATTAAAAGAGAAAATCACAAAGAGAATAATGAACTCAAAACAGACAGCAGCCAAAAAAAAAAAAAATAATAATACAATGATTATAACAAAAGAGCTGCAGGAAAATGCAGCTACCAAAGAATAAAATAACAGAGAAAATAAAAAGAAGAAATTGGGGGTGGGGGGGAATTTTAAGAATACCTAAAAAGAAAAAAAGAGAGATAGGAAAATGGGGCTATAGAAAAGAAATATAAGAGAGGAAATAAGAGGAAGAAATAATAATAATAAAGACACTTAGAAAAACCAGAGAGAGGGAAGATGAAAAGCGAGAGAATGTAGAGTCATAAAGACAGATCAAAGGAGATTAAGAGCATAAATGATAAAGAGACGAAAAGAAGGAAACACAAAAGCAGAGGTAGAAAAAGATAAAACTCAAGGGAATGGAAAGGGAAGAAGGAGGAGAAAGAGTAAACAAGAAATAATGAAACAAGAAAAGGAAGAAACCAAACCGAAAAAGAAAACAAAAAGCAGTAGAAGATTCTGGGGGCTCCTGCAAGTCGAGGAGTTGGAAAGGCAGGTGTGGAAATGATGTGGCAGCAGCGTTCCTGGCCCTACATGGAGTTTCTGTCAGCCTCAGTGTTATCTATGTTCACGGAACTCAGTCTGCAAGTAATTCATGGAGGCCCTTGATGGAACTGGTTTCAGTGTCTATGAGGACCACAGGGCAGCTCAGGCAGAGTGACTGGTTAAATGCTGGTCTGGTGACTCTGCAGGTTCCATAGGTCAGGAGCTGAGCCCACCTGAATCCACCAAAGTGATGCACCAAAATAGTGCAGCTGGCTCCTGCCTTGCCCTGGCTTGGCTCCCAACCATGTGGCTCTGAATTCCCAGAGAACAGTCTGTGCTGCAGATAGGTAAAGATGGGAGCTGGCTACTCCTCTGATCACC